TGCGGGGGTGGGGGCGGGGGAGGCAGTCTGAGCCTACGTTCCTACCTTTTAACCAGCTCTCCAGGTGATTTGATGTACAGATCAAATTTAAGAACTGTCACTTTAGAGCCAGGGTTGGCAAACTATAGCCCACAGACCCATCCAGCCTGCTTCTTCTTTTTTTTTTTTTTTTAAATAAAGTTTTATTGGAATGCGGCTACACTCACTTGTTTACGTACTATCTATGACTGTTTTAGCATGGCTATGGCAGAGTTGAGTAGTTATGGCAGACACCCTATGGCCCCTTAAAGCTTAAAATATATACTCTTGGCCATTTAAGTTTGCAGACCCCTGACATAAAGCTAAATGAACATTTATCATTGAGAAATTTAAACCCTGTTGCATCAGGATAATTCCTGGCAAACACAAGTGTAAGTAAGCGAACTCTTTTTTCAGAATTTAGTTTGGGTGTGTTAGTTCTTACATGGTCTACACTTTTTCCAGGACTTTTTGCAAATTAGAGCATTTTGTGACTCCTGACTTGTCCAGAGAGGGTATACATTCCCATGACCCACCACAAGAGAGTGGAGGTAATTGGAAGCAAAGCATATGGTTTCTGTAGTCTATATATCAGAATAGTCCTTAATAATCTCATAGATTAGCACACAATCATCAAGTACATAGACTTCTTCATCCAAAAGCTGTGAAACCAGGTTAGCTACCTACATGTCAGGAAGGAAAACATTGCTATATCTATTTTTGAAGAGGTGTTAATGTCTTTGGCTAAAGTTTACAGAGCTAACCACATCCCCTCTCTTCAGCCAGCCAGCTATCTATATGAAATAAAGACACAGCCCTACAAATATATTCAGACTTTTTCAAAGTAGGCTATTTCCTCTATTCTTAGATAAATCACAATAGGTTAGTAAGCCAGAAATAAGATTTCATGTTTCTCTTTAGTAGAAATTAGCTTTTTTTTTTTTTGCTTCCAATTGAAGATACTTTATGTATTCCTTTGTCCCTTATGTTACTATAAACTCAACATGGTAAGTTTTGTGGTTTTTGACCTCTTAAACGAAGTCACTGTTTTCACTTAGACTAATGTTCTTCTGATCATGAAATAAGATTCTTCTGTTTATGCATTTGAACTAATTCTCAGCAAGTGCAACTTCAATTAAATGATATAGAACCGGGACAGATTGGTGGTTGCCAGGGGCAGCAGATGGTGGTTTGGGGACTATTGGTGAAGGGGGTCAAAAGGTACAAACTTCCAGTTATGAGATGAAATAGTTCCAGGGATCTAATGGACAGCATGGTGACTATATTACATATTTGAAAGTTGCTAAGAGAGTAGATTTTTAAAGTTCTTACAAGCAAACCAAAAATTGTAACTATGTGAGGTGATGGATGTGTTAACTAACCTTATTGTGGTGAGCATTTCACTATATATACAAATATATCAAATCATTACATTGTATACCTTAAATTTACACAATTATCTTTTCTCTGGAATCAATAAAAATATTTTTTTAAAAATTAACCCAGCTGGCATGGCTCAGTGGTTGAGCATTGACCTATGAACCAGGAGGTCATGATTTGATTCCTGGTCAGGGCACATAGCCAGGTTGTGAGCTCAATCCCCACAGTGTAGAGCATGCAGGAGGTAGCTGATCAATGATTCTCTCTCATCAATGATATTTCTCTCTCTCTCCTCCTCTCCCCTCCTCTCTGAAATCAATAAAAATATATTAAAAAAGAAAAGAAAGGAATGCATTCAGGTTGTCTGATTTTCACAATTTAATTTCACCATAGATTGATTATGGTGAAATTAAGTAAGTAATCCAATCCCTTTGTACTTTAGTTCCCACATTTAAAATAGAGATGATTTGGTAACTGATTCATAGTATTCTTGTGAGGGGTAAATGAAGCAGTGCACTCTGTAAAGGGGTTAGCCCAGTGCCTGGGCTATTGAGAGCACTGCCTAAACAGTCCAGAGCCCCTGTGACTTGGAGTTCCTGAAGTTCTAGCTCAACTTTTTTCTCTTCATTAACTCTGTTTTTCACAAAGGCAAGCCAACAGTCTATGGTTTTACCTTTCACCTTGATGTGGGTGATTTTTAAGTCTGACTGACTTCAATTTTTCCAACATCCATATCCACAAACTCTCATTCTTTATTTCTGTATATCCTTCATATTCCCATACTCTTCCTGATTGCCATCCAGCTGGCTCAAAACCTCCGTCAGTTTTCCCTTCTCCCTCTCCCCAGCTCTACTCACCCAACAGGTCTTTCTCATGTATTCCTTCCATTTTGTTCTGATTCTTCCTATATGAGTTAACACCCACCTGGGCTATTGGTAAAGCCTGCTAGTTAAGCTTTCATCAATCCTCCTGTCCCAGGCTTGTCCCATTCCAGTCTGTCCTATACACAGTCTGCCACCAGATCGACCAAAGCTATGGTCCCTTTGTCCATGGTTTTATCCATTTTTAGGTATGCTATAATTCATTTTGAAATTATATATGCCATTGAAGGAGATAATGAGACTTATAAAACTTTACCAGAAGGAACCATTTATTTTTTTAAAATCATGAAACTTTAACAAGTGCTGGTGAGGATGTGGAGAAAAAGGAACCCTAATACACTGCTGGTGGGAATGCAGCCTGATACTATGGAAGTCAGTGTGGAGTCTTCTCAAGAAATTAAAAATGGAACTGCCATTTGACCCAGTGATACCAATTCTAGAAACATATCCTAAGAAGCCTGAAACACCAATCAGAAAGAACATATGCACACCTATGTTCATAGCACCACAATTTACAATAGCTAAGATCTGGAAACAGCCCAAGTACCCATCAGTAGACGAGTGGATAAAAAAGCTGCGGTACATCTACACCATGGAATTTTATGCAGCAATCAAAAAGAAGGATCTCTTACCCTTTGAGACAGCCTGGAGGGACCTGGAGAATATTATGTTAAGCGAAATAAACCAGTCCAAGAAAGACAAGTATCACATGATCTCACTCATATGTGGAAACCGATGAACAAAATAGATCCAGAGACATAGAAACATGGAACAGACTGAGGAATCTCAGAGGGAAGGCGGGGTGGGTGGAAAGAGATTAACCAAAGAACTTGTATGCATATATATGCATAATCCTGGACACAGACAATAGAAAAATGGGGTCAATGGGGTGGGGGGGGGGAAGCAGGACATCTGTAATATTTTCAACAATAAAGATTTTTCAAAAATCAAGAAACTTTTCCCCAAAGCATTGCTTTGATTGACATTCTCTTAAAACCTTTCATCAGAACGTTGATTAGATTAGATATGTTCATTATCTTGATTGTGGTGATGGTTTCATGAGTGCATACACACACCAACACTTACCACATTGTATACTTTGAAATGTATGGGTTATTGTATGTCAGTAATACCTCAATAAAGTTGTTAAAAAATATCCTCCAGTGGTTTTCCACTACCCATCAAATAAGCACACTTTTCAGCCTGGGTCAAATTTCCTCCCGGGTCTGGCCTCAGCTGCCCTTTTAGGCTTATCACTCCAGACTCCTGCACATAACCAATACTCCAGTGAAACAGCCACTCACTACGCTATCTGCCTCCTGCTGTCCTCTGTGTTTTGTATTGCTTTCTCTCAGGCTCTGTAGACAACTTTAAGACCCAACTCAAATGTCACTTCCTCCTTGAGGTTATCCAGATAACCCAAATAAGAAGTGATCTTTGCCTTCTCAAAATTTTGTTTGTACCACGTCTATGGTCTTATCACAAATGCTCTTAAATTATAGTTATTTGTGTACTTATCTTCCTTACTAGAGTAAAGGATCCTCGAATGAAAATAATTTGTTGAACACTTCTGCAGCACCCCTCTTCCCATTCTCTTGCATGTGTGTGGATCTCATAATGAATGAATGACTTCATCAAACAAAAGATGAGACTTCAAGTTTGATTATAGTTTTAATAAGATGCCAACCAAGCCTCACCAAGTATCTTGAATCTCTATTTTTTAAAAAGGTAAATTATTTCTGTTGCAACTTATTGGTTGACCTTTGCCTCCTGAGGATTGTATTTGTGAAACCAAAGGCAGAGTATGAGTCCCTGAGTGGTGTGTGTGGGAAACTATGAAGTTGACGGCAGCTGAACTGACATGCTTGAAGAGTCTCAGAATGCTGTAGTGGTGAGAAGCAGGTTGGAAGATGGGCAGGGCACGACCCTGCTGTGGATGATGTGAGAACATGAGCAAAAGGCTTCAGCAGAGGTGCTTTAGAAACCTCTTCTGTTTGTCTTTACAAAAGAAGAAAGGAAGGCTAGTCTGGAAATAAAGGAGGTCAATTTTTTTTTTCTGTCCATTGCAGCGCTTCGGGGCTGGACTGTGTGTCTCATTAGTAGCTCCATTCCTTTTGTCATAATAGCCCTGCTGCCT